ACCAGAAGTAGTGCATATTCAATTCCTCCCCACAAACCGTGCAGCATCACCCAGTTGTAATCACTACATTTGTAAAAGAATTCCCTTTGAATTTGCCATGGGGCAAACCAAACGATATCGTCGCTTTGTAGATTTTGAAGAATATTAATCCACATATCTTTCGTGACTTCTTTTGGCCATTATTGCTCCAGAAACTCTTTCAACGGTGAGTAGTCCGTACTAAAACGACGGTATAAAACCTTTTCTGTCCTCTAAAAATGGTTACGGATCCATACATATAACAAGGGTGCACATCCCGAAAATTGTCCACCTCCTAGCCTTCTGCAAGCGCTTAACGATCGAAAAGTCTCTGCTAGAATTGCAGAATCATGATTTACCCTTTTTGGTAGCTGCTCAAACAAATCTACTACTGCAGCCTCAATATCCCAATACTTTTGGGAAGATGGCCATACCATATATACTCAGAGCAAAAAGATCAAATCGTACTTTATCATCTGGATGACTCTGAATAATTTCTTTGATGTTGGTCCAAGCAATGCCTTCACCTTCACCCTTTTGTTTCGTGCGGGCTACTACTCATTCCTCTCGTACTCCTGCAATCTTTGCTAATTTAACTCGGAAAGGTTGAGTTTTAACTAACCTTGAATAAATTCGATTCTCCAAAGCCCCTTCTATATGTAGCAAAGTTGTATACTCTTCAATAGTATGAACCAAATCCTCCTTATTGAAAGTGAAGCAATTATAACCAAGATTCCATAATTGAATCAGGGCTCGAATCAAGTCATCATCAACTTCGACATAGAGCAAATATGGGATGTCCCAGTAAGACTGATAGAACTGCAGCTTTCTATTTGAATCCCAACTCTCCCAAATGCCTCGTAAATCTTGCATATCATTTCTTTTTAGCAAAACCGGAGCATAACTTGCCAACTCGGGTACATAATCATCCTGCAGATTGTCTCCCCCTTGTCTTTGTAAGTCCTCAGCCCACTGTCTTACTTCTGAGTTTGGAACTATTTTATTTGAACACTTTTTATCCATAGATGAAGGTTTTCCAATGAGACGATTAACTCGAAGATCAATACCTTTAATCTTGTATGATGCTATGCAAACAGAAAAAAATAAAAGAAAACATAGAAAAAATGAATTAGTTCAAATAATGAAGAAGGAAAAAATTTAATTTAATAATATCTACGCAAATATTTTTATTTAAACATGCTTTCTACATAGCATACTTTAAATAATTTAAATTCATATGTAATTTATTTAGCAGAGAAATAAATAAATAAAGGAAAAAGTTAGAATTCATTTCTCCTTTGTGTACATCTATTTTGGACAAAATTAAAGCATGGCTTCAGATTGGAAGAGTTTCTGATGTTTACTATATGCAGAGTTTCAGTTCTAAGAGTAAAGGTATCCGAATTGTCCTTGTTAGTGCCCCCTTGGGCTGCTAACCCTCAATCCTAGTCCATCACAGACTTAAGCGGATCGAGTTCAATTCGAGGGGACACATTTCTCTATGCCTGACACAGAGAATAAATTCTCATGAAGACATAGAGCATATGAACCCCGAAAGTTACTTGCTAGGTCTGACACAGAGAATAAATTCTCACGAAGACGTCGCTTTCACTCCCACTTAAAAGGGACAAGCTTGATTATAAAGTTTATGTTATGCAATGCACGTATTGTGTGTGAGGAGAAATTTTCAAACCTCTGACAATCAAATAAATAATGAAATTTAATACTTGAAAATAAGATAATATACATATAAATATTGTGAAAATAATAAGTATATATAAAAATTTTGAAAAGAAAGAATTATAAATTAAATATATGAATTTTTAATTTCTAATTAATAGAGACAATTTATAATTGATTTTAAAGTTTGACCAGGTCCCCAACAGAGTCGCCAAGCTGTCGTAACCGGTTTTCGCCCGGGCACGAATGTTTACTTGGCGGGAAAAATGATGTGGATAAAAATGATTTTGATTAAAAAATGTTTTGGAGTCGCCATCGAACATTTTGGGTTAGGTAGGGTCGAATACCTAAAAATCATCTTTTAAAATAGTTTTTAGGAAAACACAATTTAAAAGATAAATTGGTCTACGTTTAACCAAAAATTCGTTCTTTTTAATAATAAAAAGGGATTCGTGGTCGGTTACGTTTGGGGAAGGATTAACACCCCCATAACGCCCAAAATTGGTACCCGTCGATTATATATTGTTTCTAATAATAGAATTTAAAGATTTGAATATAAATTTAATTTATGATCATCTTATTTCAGATTCAATCGAATAATTTTAAAGAAAAATAATTTTTCTAAAACTAAAGTAAAAATGTATATTTTTAGGGTTTTATAAATAATGTATTTATTTATTTAGAAATATCAGAAAAGGACATCTAGTTATTTTAAGACTGTCTCTTTTTTTAATATTAAAAAATTAATAAAAATTAATAAAAATCTTTTAAATAAAATTAAATCAAATATAGTATTTTATTTATTTAAAAAACTTTTAAATGGCGCGTGATTCTATACGCCGGTAAGGGTGATCAGATAAAACTTCCAACATTGGATCCATTTCCAATCCAAAGACCAAGGTAACTTCTTCTTCACATAGTGTACTAACATGACACCTTATAATTATAAATCACATTTAAATTAATCAAACAATGAGGAGCCCACCATCATCCCAAAACCAACGGAAATCAAGGAGCAAAAGTGGAAGACAATTTTGATTTTTATGTTTAAGAATGTTGAGCTTTAAATGGTCTCTTAGAAATATTGTAATGGGTATTTATTATTTATTGTAATGAATCTAACGTATTGTAATAAAATGGGCTCATTTATTTATAAAATAAAAAATAATAATTAAAGGACTTATTTTAAAATATTTAAATATAAAGGGTAATAATAAAAATAGTAATAAAAATATAAAAATATATGATTAATAATAATAAAAAATAATAATAAAATCTAATTAAAATATTAAATTTATTTAAAACATTATTAAAATATAAAATATCAAAATTAAAAATACTAATTCGAAATAGCATGTAATATAAGCATAAAGTATAATTTAATCATAATAATTTATTCTAGTTATAAATAAAATTTATTAAAATTAATAGGGGTTAAATAGGTTATTTTACCTTAAAGTATATAACTAAAGTAATTTAACTCAAAAGCAGAGATTTGATTTCAACATGAAACACACAATTAATATTAGAGTTTTCAACGTAAAAGCAAGGTAGGTTTTACTTTTCCATCAAAACAAAAAGTTTTATTTTTATAATAGATAAAACAAAAGCATCATTTTTTTGTTTGAATTAGGGGGTCTTTTAATCAATTATTTGGTTTCAACTATACATCTATTAATACGTGAATTAAGGGGCATATATATATATATATTAATTAATGACTAAAATTAAATAAAGATAAAATGAAAGATAATAATTAAATTATTAAAAATAATAATAGAAATAAAATAAAATTGCAATTAGATAATAATCAAAATAAAATAATTAAAATTATAACACTAAATAAAATAAATAAATAAACTTATGGTAAAAAAATACTAATATATCAGTAATTAAAATGTAAAATACCAAAATTAAAGGCTCTAATTCAAAATATTATGAAATATATATTTAATTTTAATTATTAACCAATGATTAAAATATAAATTATTAAAATCTGAGGGACTAAATCTGTTATTTACCATAAATATATATATTTACTGATAATGACTAAATTATAAATAAAATAAAATTAGAAGACCGAATTAAAACTTACAGAAATTGATTTTCAGTGACAAAATGAAAGTATACAAACTTAATGGACCTATATTGTATTTTACCCTATACGAAAATTATGCAGAGGGTCCCTCCCTTAAACGACGTCGTTTAACGGAGGGTATAAAGACCCTATTAAACCGGCCTTTAGGCCATTTTTCTCCATATTTCCCATTTTGCTTCGAGAGAAGCTCTACCTTCTCTCTAGTTTCCTTCGCCGGAAGGAAAACTGATCCCCAGCCAGCCGTCGCACGACGCCACTAACCTCGCCGTCGGCCACCGTCACCGGTGGTCGGAAAATATAAAACCCTCTCAAAAGATAGATCAAAATGATCTAAAATCGAATCCAACCCCCTTTTATATAAAACACGTCCTATTTACGTAGATCTACAAAAATACCTTCAGGTATTTCGAATCTTTGCGTGACGCGTGGATGTTCGTGGTTTCTTCGCGTCGGCCACCGTCACCGGTGGTCGGAAATATAAAACCTCTCAAAAGATAGATCAAATGATCTAAAATCGAATCCAACCCCTTTATATAAAACACGTCCTATTTACGTAGATCTACAAAAATACCTTCAGGTATTTCGAATCTTTGCGTGACGCGTGGATGTTCGTGGTGTCTTCGGTGACCGTGGAGTCCTCTTTGGGAAGTTCTCTCTCTTTCAGTTTAATATTTGTTGGTTTTTGGTTGTTTGTGGCTCTTGGTTGCTGGTCGTTGGTGCTTTCCTCTTGCTTTCTCTCTTCTTCCTTCATCGCAGGTTCGAAGGCTTTTATAAGCCTCAATAATGGTGGATTTATGGTGAGTCATCGGATCTATGATGGTGACTCACCATAGATCGTGATGTGTACGGATGTCTTCATATCTTCTGGAGTCTTCAGTGCAGTGATGGTCATCGTGGCAGCAGTTGGATGGAGAACATAACGGTGGAGTGGTTGAAGGCGAAGCAGTGGAGCAGTTGAGAGTGGTTGAGTTGACGACTTGAGATAAGATGTGGAAACCCTAAACGAGTTCTGAACCGAGTCAGATTGTTTGGACCGGGTTGGGCTTCTGGGTACCCGGTTGGTTTGGGTCTAAGATCCATTTGTAACTGGGCTTCAGGTTTGGACCTGTAATATTAATAATTTATTTGTTAATAACAATAATAATAATAATAATAATAATAAATAAATAAATAAAATGGGCAAAAAAAACTAATGTCTACTCAATTAGGGATTTTTCCCATCTGTTTCTCTTCTCCTATCCTTGTTGTACTTTGCAACCCCCACTGACACTCTCTTCCCATCAATCAACGTTCCATTAACATACTGAATTGCTCTTCTACAGCCTTCCTCCACCGTAAATTGCACAAAGGAAAACGTAGAAGATGTATAATTCAGTTTAAACATAAATTTTGGAATAAAGACCCTAACTACTATTCCATAATGATTGAAAATCTCTCTTAATTCACTTCTAGTAACTCTCCTACTAAGATTATCAGGAAAAAACAGTCCATTCCTCATTGGAGGACGAACAAATTGTCTCACTCGCTCTCTTTCTCTCTCTACCATTCTCACTCCTCATTCTCACTTTTGAATGAGTGCATTACAAGATGATTCACAAAAATTGATAGTATGACAGAAACTGCATATGGCAAATCACCTTTGACTGTATCACTTATCAATGTGGGTTAAACCATGAAACTTATTCGGCAGAGGAAGTAGTGATTTAGTAAAGATTGAAAAAGAATCCACCTTAACAGAAAGCTCCCCTGAACAGTGAAACAGGGGAAAAAACTATGAAATAAACCAAAGGGAAGCTGCTTTGGATTTGACAACATACAGTGATAGAGATCAAAATAAAAGCAAAAATTAGAATAAAATCACTGTAAAATGAAAAGCTTTACCTTTCTCAGTCCGCTTAATAGAGCCAGAAGCACCCAATATATCACCAATATTAACAAGTGTCTTTAACTGCTCAAATTGATCATTCAAAAGCCTTTCTTTCTCACAGTACAACTACAATCACTTGATAGCCATACAATCATCCAAAATGTTAACAAAAATTATAGCAGAAACAATACAATTAGGTCTGTAAATAAGACGAGACAAATCGTGAGTTACTCGAGATTGATTCGGTCAGAGCTACATAAATACTCGATTCGAATGGACTCGAACTTGAACTCGACTCGAATTATTAACAAGCCGAAATGATTTACTTGATTCTCGTCTCGAAAAGCGGGTGATCAACTCGAAAATATAATTTATTAAGAATTTATTTTTTAAAATTAAATTATTAATAATATTAACTTTAATGTGTTGATTTTTAAAAAATATGGTATAAGGCTTGCATGTATTTAAAGATCGAGTTTGAGAGTTTAAGCTTCGATCGAATTAAATTTATAATTTTTTTTATTTTGAGTTTTCGTAAACTTCAATTTATGGGTTGTAATTTATGGTTTAGAGTTCTAGTCGAGCTTAAAAATACAATGATGTAGAAAACGGGGGGAAACAACCTGGAAAAACCTGAATAGTGCTGGAGTCATCTCTTAAAGTGAGAAAAGCAAGTTTCCCAAAGGCTCTACGAGCCACAATTCGGCCAGCAACGGAGACACGGTGACTTTCGCCATCCAACTCTTCGCCATTGTTAAGATCCTTGTATATCTCTTGAAGCTCCCTAGCACTGTGACTTCTATCCCACTTATAGCCGTACGGCTTCAACCCCTGGCTCCACAATTGCTCCACTTTCTTGAGGCGGATGGAACGGATGGCTTCACGGTCCGAAGTGCGGTGCTTAAGCAGCGGACGGCTAGAGCAGAGGAAGCGCCCAATCCAAAGAGTTGCCTCAAATTCGAAGGCCTTGCAATGGATGAGGATAGCCTCCATACCTTCAAGCCAACCATCTTCGGGTCCTTCTTTACTGTTATTACCAGTTTACCACTATCATCACTCCTCTGCCCTTTTACATGCTTTCCATCCTCCGTTCTTCTTTTTCAAGTTTGTAATAAATAAATTTAAGGGTAGGTAAATAATCACTTTAAACTATTAGTTTTGATTTTTATTAGAATCTAAACTTTTAACTTTTTTAAATTATAATTAACATTTTTTTGTTTAATTTTAGTACCTATCGTTAAAAGTTTAATACATTTAGTATTTAAACTATTAATTTTAGCCCGTTTTAATACATAAACTTTCACTTTTTTAAAAAACTTAATATTATATTTTGAACGGCATACTAAAATGAAACAAAAATTAAATTTTAAGTATGATTTTGAAAAAATTGAAAGTTTAGATATTAAAACATAATAAAACTGATAATTAAGTACTAAACATGTAATTTACCTTAAATGTTGAGAGATTAATTAGAATAAAACATAAAATTGAGAGACTAAATTATAAAAATTATGTTAAAAAGTGAAATTTAAGTTACATGTGTATTCTGAAGTAGTTAAGGAGAATCTGATTCAAATTTTGTCAATTACTTACTCAAAACGAAGGAAAAAATGAAAAGAAATAACACAAGTTGCCATGTCATAAAATAATCAAATTATTTAACTAAATTTTAAAACGATATCATATTAGTTTCTGATATTTTAATTATTCAAATTTTATAAGTTTAAATTTGACTCAAATTTGAAATTTGATAAAAAAAAATTGAATTAATTTAAATAACTCTAATAAATTAAAAAAATTAAATAGTCTAGAGTGATTACAAGGTAATATTTGTTCATATTTTGCTTAACTATTTAACAACACACATCGTACAATCGCAATTGCTCGAGCTCAAGACCTCTATAAAGAAAAAAAATTAAAACAATGTCATATTATATAATTAGGGATGGTAATTTAACCCAAAACCAACAGATTTTGACCCGATCCGAGCCGATAGGATCGGATTTTTTAACAAATCGTTTCAAGTTCGGTCATATTTTATAAATGACTGGGGTGGAATGTGAAAAAACTCCGATCCGACCTGAACGTTATATTGTAATTTCTTTAAATAAATTTATGAATAATTGATATTAATATCCTCACTCTATTTTTTTTTTCTTAATTAAGTCTTTGTTTTATACTAAGTTGAGTCGGATCGAATTTACACTCTAAAAATTTAAGTTTTATCGAGATCCGATGGAAAATGTATATTTTTCAAATTAAATTAAATTTAAATGAAGAATATATATTTTTCGGACTAGATCGAGTTAACTAAAAACCCAACCCAACACGTTTTTATCCGTATATATAATGATATACTTCAGAAACGGAGACCATATTAAATTTCAATTTAAAACTCAAATTGGGGTTAAATTTTAATATTTTATATAATATTTGAAAAATAAAATCAATATTTATAAAATAAAATAAAAATGAATGGACAAAAAAAACGTCCGACCTTGTTACCATCCCTAACTTGGAGGTCGCTAAGCCCAATTTGTTTAGGCCATTCCGACCAGCTTCCTAGTAAGGCCAAGACTCCAAGCATGCCCAAGACTATAAAATAAAAGTCAAATCCAACTCACATACAAATACACATGTATTGGTGCCATATTTACGGTTGAATTAGATCGGATCGAATTTTTAATTAACCTAAATTTGATTTAAATATTATATTCATTTATTTTATATCCGATCAGAGTTTAAGGAGATTATATATTTTTAAATATTTAATCTAAAATTTAGAGTTAAAATATTCGATACAATTTTTAATATTTCTTCAACTCAATGTTTTGGTACCAAAATAGTCGGAAAAAACATGAATAAAATCCTTGCTGACACAACAGGTTGGATCCCCTCGGAGAAAAAAGTATTCTCAGTCAAATCAGCTTATAAGGTGATAGCAAACAACAATACAACAGAGGAAAAGATTTGGAGTATCATTGCTAAGCAAAACAACATTCCCAGGATCAAAGCGTTTCTATGGCTTATGGGGAAAGATAGAATACTGACCAATTTGGAAAGAGTGCGCAGGCATATGACGACGGATGCAAGCTGCCCCATGTGCAACTACGAGACAGAAGACTTAAATCATATGTTGAGATTCTGCCCGAGAACGTTACTGATGTGGGCAGAACTGATTGATACCCGGAACTTGGATAATTTTCTGAATAAAAATATCAAAGAGTGGATCACAGAAAATCTGGAAACAACACAATCCCCTTCACCTTATATTGAAAATTGGCCATCATTCTTCAGCTTTGTAATCTGGTATATTTGGAAAAGAAGAAATCAAGACCCTGAAATGATCAAAAGAGAAAATGTTATCCAACAAGCTATGAGATTGACACAGGATATACAAAATTCAGAAGCTATCAAATCTGGAAGCACACCAAGCAGGAATGAAATTCGAAATAAATGGCAGAAACCTAGTAGAAATTACTGTAAAATAAATACAGACGGAACCAAGAATCAAAGCACTGGAGAAGCTATGTGCGGGGCAGTTGCAAGAGACCACAATGGAAACTGGCGATGGGGTTTTGGTAGAAGAATAGGGATTTACTTCATCTTGGAAGCAGAATTATGGGGAATTTACGAGAGCTTAAATATGGCTTGGAACAGGGGAGAAAGAAAAGTGGTTTTGGAATCTGATAACAAAGAAGCTATCAACCTTATTAAAAATAATTCGCCTGAGCACAGAAAGCTTATCATTCTGCAGCACATAGGAAAACTCTTAAAGAAAAATTGGGAAGTAGAGTTGAAGCACATACCTAGAGAGGTCAATCGTGTAGCAGATTTCATCGCCAAGCTGATTAGGAAGTATCAAGAAGACGTAGTCTTTCTGGAAAACCCACCCAAGGAAGCTGAAGAGTTGTTAATTACTGATAAAATGGACATATAGAAGGCCCTTCGTACTTTTTTCAACAAAAAAAAACATGAATAAAATCATTAAGTAAAATACATTCCAAAATATATCAAAATTACAAGTCAAGCTAAGTGCAAGTGTCACACCCCAATTTAGGGGTTAAATTTTAGAAATTACAAAGTATTGAATTAAAGTAGTATTTTGTAAAAAAAATTTAAGGATTTTAATTGTAAATTGTCCTTCTTTAATTTTGAGACATTCTAGAGTTCACGTGAAATCTCTTATTTGTGTGATATGAAATTGTTTATTATTACTATTATTATTATTATTATATGGAAAATAGGAACCATAATTTGAATGATATTTTGATATAATAGTGTTAAGGCTTAGTTTAAAACTAAGTTGTTGGAAATAATTAGAAAAAAGAGTGAGAAAAGTGAGAGATGGGGTTTGTATTTTTAGTGTTTCAGGCATTGATAGGAAGATTCATGTTGTGGAAAGGTCGGAGTTGTTGTAAGGAATGATATAACTTGGTTTTGGATCCATCGGACGATAATATGAAGCGGACCAGAGTATTTTACTTTAAGAAAATCTAATGGTTTTCACTAGATCTACAACGATCGACGATGTTTTTGAATGATTGGGGATCAAATTTGTGACGAGTAGCATGAGGTGGTTCGAAAGATGTATTTTATGTCTTGAATGGTAATCGGAGACGGTGGTCAACACGGTGGTCGCCGGTATTCGACTGTTGCCGATGAAGGTTCTTTGTTCACCTTTAGAGCATGACTTGAAAAAGAAAAAAGAAAAAAAAGAAATAAGAATTGGCAAAGCTGCGTGGAAATGGAGGAATGGAAGAGTGCACATGGCTTTGGAAATTGAAAAGGGAGCAAAGAAATCATTCACGTGGTTTTGGTGAGTTATTGATAAAGTGCAAAAGGGGTAAATTACAAGGTGAGTCATCCAAGTTTGGTAAAAGCTAACCTTGTTTTCTAGCTTCCATATTGTTATGATTATGGCATAATGGTTTCAATAAGATCAATTTAGTCCCTGATTTTAGTAATTGAATATATATAGTGGCTCCATAAGTTTTTAGTTTTATCAATTGGGTTCTTGAATTATTAATTAGATTCTAATAAGTTATTTTTATGGCGAGGAAAATTATTTGAAGTCGTATTTGTACGATAGATGGTCCGTGTTTGTTAGAAAAAGATTGTAAGCCAGAAATTAAGTTGGTGAGTTGGATTTCAAGAGTAATATTTTGGATTTTATTGATGTCCTGAATCCGAAGTCCGTTTCGCCAAATTCGAAACTGGTAAGCTATTTTTCACTGATTTATCATCCGATTCGATCCGTTTTTCAGGATTAAGCTCCGTTTTGATGTAATTTCTGTTGATATGGATATGAGGAATTATTGGAAGTTGATTTCAAGATCGAGGGCGATCAAATGGAATTTTTATGGTTGATCAGTATTGCACGGAAATCGAGGTAATACTTTACTACCTCTTTATGCTTTATGGAACATGTTGATATTGGTAAATGCATGAATAAGATATTGTTGGTCACTTTTGTGGAGTTGAATAATTTATACACTCGATATGAATGTGATAGAAATTCTGTAATTGAATACAGATCGAATGACTAACATAAGAGATTGAGGAATTGTTAGAATTAAATTAAAAGTTTGTGATTGGTGATAAAGAAATCAGCCCTGGATTTGTAACTTATATTTTATATCATCAAAGATTAAATGGTAAAGGTACTTGGATGAGAAATTATGAGAATACTCCGGTATGGTAAAATTACGAAAATACCCTTATGTTGTAGGATGACAAGAATTATCCCTGGAAGTTGGTTAATAACTCTGAAAAGACATATTGATTCGATATAATTATAGATGTGCATAAGAAATAATAGTTTTGTTTAGAAAATTTGGATAATTGGTTTTTAATGCCAAAAAAAGGGTTTGCGCAAGATGCTAGAAGTT